TTGGTTACTAGTACTTTAGCTATTACAAATTGATTTTGTGGTGAATTTACACTATCCTATATTCTTTATCATTTTTTATTTTCTTTTCTTTAAAATAAATTGTTTGAAGCTAAATGTGCTCTGTGTTTATATTATTTGAATGTTCTTAATTTAGGATGTTTATCTTTGTATTTACAGATAATGGCACTCAATATTATTTCTCTCAACAGCTGTTAATGTTCTATAGTTTAATATCCTCATGTGTACAAAGATAAAGAGTAATAAGTATAAGATGTCCAATTTTTTAGGAATATTTAAAATGTGATAAAATTAATGTTCTTAAATGTGCTTCATCAGGTACAAATGCGTCAATAATGTTTGACTAATCTGCAATTGTTCAAACCAGCAAACACAATATAAGTCAGGGTGCTAAGGATTTGGCCATTGACAATGCTTGATAATCCCAAAAATCTTTTCAGCCTTAAATCTTTTACTTGCAGATGTGAACGCAATTTGTAAAACCACTTCACTTTTCTTTATTGTAAATTTTCATACAACTTTAAAGTCATATTAAAATTAAGAAAACAAGCCTTTTTTTTATTAAAGGTAAGGAAGAGCAAATCAGGAAAAAAGAATTCATATAAGGATATTATAAATTGAATAAAAATAATTGGTTTTATATATTGGGAAAAAAATTGTTGGATATATTAAATACATATTATTATTAATTGATTGGGGATAAAGAAATAGTTAAGAGGAAATAGCATTGTGGGAATTGGGAAATGATAAAAAATTGAGATTTATTAGCTAGGGATGTGAGAAAATATGTCATTTTATCAATTATTTTAACTTTTACATATTTTTAATGAGAAATGAGATAAATAGTTGAGAATTAATAAGGATGTGGAAGTGAGAGAAAAGAGATATTTATTAAGTATGCAAGAATATGTACATAATTTATTAATTATCTTAATTTTTTTTATATTTTTTAATATAATTAATTATATTATTATTATAAAATTATAAAGTCTCTCCAAATTTGGGGCATAAAGCTCTTGTTTTGGTGGTTTTACCTATCAGCTGACACTGAAACTCTTCATAATAATACTATACCCTATAACTGATTCTTTAACATTCATACTTGGGTATTTGCATTAAAATATTGTAGATGTTATTGGATTGCATATAACAATGACTCTTTTAACAAAAGCCCAGCTCAATAACAAAGATGTTCCTGTCCAAAAATAAGACATATACATCCAAAATTTAACATGAACCAAAAAAAACAAACAAACAAATACTCAACTTCTTCATTAATATGTCTATTAATTTACATGTTTTACTTGTCTTTTCAAATCTTCAAATAGCTATGAGACTTTGAAGGTTGTGTTATATGGGGAGTTGGCATTAAACATAAAAGAAGGACAAGTGTTGTATCAAAAGAACAAATGTGTGTTTATCTTTGCTACAGTGATTATCAAAACTTACATGGGTAAGTACAATTCATAAAACTTTTTTACTTATTGTAATAAATAATACACATAAAAAATACATTAACATTTAACTATATACTTTTTGTAAGATCGTTATATAATCTACATCGATCTTGACATTCCAAAAGTGAATGAATTGTAGGCAAGGTAATGTCAAAACAAACTGCACTATTTACTTTACAATGAACGATAGCCTTCAAAGCTATATAATTATTTGCAATAAAAATTAACTATTAGGTGCCAACAAGAACCAATACAAGCACAACTCTAACCATTGGAAAGCCAAAGCCAATTATAACTCAATCAACCAACCATAATCTGTAGAGTTGCTATCAATAGAATCAAGAAAAACAATGGTAAAACTTCCCCTTTATACCTCTAATATTCGTAACAAATATTACTCACATATTCTTGATCAATAAGAATGCAATTCCAAATAACACATACACAACTTTATATTTATCCCTAACAGAGCCCCAAATTCAAGGTCATAGCAACCATAGTCAATGTAGAAGTAGCTTGTGACCAATGTGTAGCAAGTTTGCGATTCTATGCTAGCAAATTTTAGTGCCCAGTGCATGACGAAAAGACACCAATTCTAATGTAAGTAAATTTAGTCCTTATCAAACTGACCAAAAAGGACATTATTATAAAATATGACTGTAACAATTACTTTATATACTCCCTACAGAATGATTTTTGTGCTCAAAATGGAAAATGCAACTGGTAAGATTCAAATACTTGCATTTGGTCAACAAGCATAAAATTGATTAGTGCTACCATCACTGAGCTAGCTACAATCAGATCCATAGACAAGATGATTCTTCCAACCCTTATTAAAGCCTTGATAAACACAGAAAAAACATTTTAAGGGTTGGACTATCAGTAAAAGCCATTGATCAGGGTTTGACAATGTTTAAGATTTTTTACAGTAACAGTGCCAAACGAATCTTGCCTAAACCTCCAAACGAGAAAAAGCTACATGTTCAGCAACCTAAGACCCGACACTCTTTGACATGCCATTACTGACCACAGGACAACCTCAAATGGAAGTGCCACTCCAACAATTACTCAAGTTTCCAAAAAATTATTTCTAGAAGAGTCACCGGGAAAGAACATCAAAATCGAGTAGGTAAATTATGTTAGTGAACATGCTTTTTATTAAAATTACAATAGAATGACAGCCAATACACTAAACGTATTTATCATGCTATGTCAATAACAAATCCATAGGAACAGTAGCAGCAACAACAAAGACCAAAAGAACTTTTTTCAAAAGGGACCAAGTAATTTTACCATAGTTGGAGCATGTTTTTTGTAGCCCCACTATATTATACTTTTTATCGTAAAAATGAATTGACAATGGAACAATGATTACATCTTGTACAATAGCACATACTGGCATAAATTGTTAGAACAGTCCTTAGCCTAACGTATGCCAAACTATATGGATTTTCTCTTTGTAGTGCCATCTTAACCACAAGCTATTGATGAATGGTCTATTAAACACTTTAATATTTATCTGATGTTCTTATGTCTAAATAATCATTTGTAGCTCTACATTCACAAATAATAACTCCTTTAGTACCTTTCCGGTTGTGTTGCCGGTCTTCTAATACAGCTAAGCAATTATTTTTCATTTTGCATGGTTAGCTTTGTGGATCAATGTATAGGTTCTTCTATTTTTATTTGTTCAATAGACATTTGCCTTTCACTGGCTTGGCATGTGATGTGATTGCGTGGGAAGGCTTGTTGTGTAGGGAGGTTTTGATAATCCAGTATACAACTCAGATCTATTGTTCTAAACTTTGTTTATTTTTCGCAAGGCACCCAAACTAATATCGTCTCTCCCCACCACCATTATGCGGTAGCCTTTGTATTTCAATTTATAAACAAGGAATACTTTTCAAAATAATATATATGTTAATTTATAAATATTAAAATATCTTTTCAAATTATTTCATAATTTTTCTTTTATTATTTCAATAATTTTCATAAATTTAATTACTTGCAGCAAGGCAGGTCAACCACCTAGTATATATAACACCCATAAAAAAAATATAAAAAATATATACATATGGCAATGAGTCGCTCTAAACTTGATCCAATCTATCCAATTGGGAATTTTATTGAAGTACATTTTCATAAAATTTATTTTTAATGTAAGTTATATCTTAATTTTATATTTTATCAAAAAAAATATTTTAATCTTGTATAGATGCATTGTCTTATTAAATTTTTTTAATCAATAGAAAGGGTATTTGAACTTGATTCTTTGAGTGTGGGATACATGTATTTATCACTACAAAAATCGACGAATCAAATACATTCAGTTGAATTTCATAACATTTTTTGTGAAATAATATTGATATTAATCTGTATAAAGATGAAAAAATTAAAGTGGTGTTTGGTAACCTAAGCTATTTTGGTTTTTTTTTTTCTAAGTAAAAACAGAAACACTGCTTTCGTTTTTTTCTTAAAAACCAAAAATAAAGCACGTGTGGTAATATTCTTGTTGCAAGAAACTTTTAAAAATAAAAACACGAGAGCATGTTTGGTAATATAATATATTTGTTTTTGTTAGATGCTAACTTTAAAAAAAAAAACAAAATAAAAAAAAAATTAAGTCATATAAATCATCCAATATGCAAAATACCATTCTAGTAATTATTTTACCAAGTTCAAAACTTGCATGAAAAGGTAAGAATACAATCAAAGACACAATATTTAAAGGAAAAAGTGACAATTAGAACAATGACTTTCAAAATTAACATTTCTAAGTTGCTCCTGCGTTTAATGATAGCTAGTTTGCTTTTCTATTTCATCCTTAAAAAAATTTCAACTCTCTTTTTAACACTTCATTATGCATTAGATTAATAAAAATTGAAAATGATTTCTCAAGCTAAGGCACACAATCCTTCTTGTTAGTAGGTGCAATCTCCACAATATCGTCTCTAACACTTATGTGGTCTACACTTACCGTCTACATTATAGTAATACATGTTACCATTAGCAAAGTAAATTTAATCGATTCAATTAATTTCCTCTAGATTACTAGATGTTACCATACGCAACTTAAGTGTCTACTTATATATTATATAATAAATATTAAAAGTAAATCTCACTTTAGTTATTATGGAAAGGAATAAAAAGATTACTCGTATTATTTATTGGTGGATAAAAATAATTTTTAGACTATTATTTAGTTAATAATTTAAAATTTTTTTATTTTAATAATTTTTAAAATAAAACTAAAGATAAATTAAAAATTAAATTCTATTCGGATTTGCACCTTCCGACACTTGAGATTGTATAAAGAGTTATCATAACATGAATGAATAATCATCCAATTGTTTCACCTTATAATTAATTGGATAATTTTTCACGTTAATTATCTTAGATATTTTATTTTTTAAAATATGAAAACGTAAAACACTTTTATTCGAATTTAATGAGAGAAAATTAAGATTTTTATTAGTAAAATTTTAAAACCCAATGGATCATAAAATCTGAGAGGACAGCTCCTACTGCTAAATAGTAAGCCAGGCAGAGAGTCGTACAGTACTGCTTCCTCCAAAAACCAAAAGAAAGAGGGATCTATGGCCCGAATGCTATCGAAAAGCCCTGTCCTCCGAGGCTCCATTCTTCACCACCACCTCTCCTCCTTCCTTCGCCACTTCTCGTCAAAGGCCAAACTGATTGAAATCGACCTGGACTCTTCTTCTTCAACAGCATCCGCCATTAACAAAATGGAGGAAATGTTTCACGCCATAATGGTCCAGAAGTCCACCCCTGATTGGCTCCCTTTCCTCCCTGGCTCCTCCTTCTGGGTCCCTCTGCCTCCCAAAGGTTCCAAGCGAGTTGCCGATGTTATTGAGCAATTGTCCAATCAGCTCACCCGCGAAGAGTTCCTATCTCTCACCACTGGCCGCGGCTGGCCCTGCTTCTCCTTTTTCATCCGTGGTAAATTATTCTTTTTTTCTTTTTATTTTCTTTGATGGTTCTAAGAGATGGGTGTTGAACTATTTTCATTAGAAAGTAAATTTTGGAATTTGGGTTGTAGCTGGTGAATATGCAGATGTTGCAATCATGGATGTGAAGGTGGAATTTCCACAGCAGGCGGAGGGGGAAGTTAAGGTGGAAGTTTTGATTGACTCAGGCGACAAATCTTCTTGACACGTGGACAGTGGTGATGATGATGGTGGATAATTTCCATCTCTCTCAACATACTACCTCTCAGGTGAGTGTTTTGTGCTTTACTTGATGGCTTAGATGTATTTAAATATAAAAAACAGCTAAGTATAATGTTGTTTTTTAGCCCCTTTACGTTACGCTATTGGTTAAAGTTTTTGTGACCTTCCAAAGTTTTTATGACATTTTGGGATGGATTTATTCTGCTGAAAACACAAAAGATTTGTTTGTTCACTGGTTTTCTACTTAACTCATAAAGAGCTTTAAATGAAATTTGCTGCCTGAGAGCCCTTTTCAGGACTAAGGATGAGGTCTATTTGCACTTATCTAGGTGAACAGACAGAAAAAGGAGTTTATGTCGATGTCATGTCTTGCATGCCACTACTTGTGATTGTGTATTCCTCAATTCCCATTAGTCATTAGAATGGTCTGGCAACTTACCTGTTCCATTTGTATGATGCATCATTGTGTCATATCCACAAAAACAGCTACCTTTGATTTATAGAGTGTCTCTACCAATGTTAATTTCTTCCATTATTGATTCATGTTTCAAAAGATGGCCTGCTTGTAGAACTAATCTCTTGACTAGCAATGAGAAAACTAGTGAGGTACCTCAGAGGGAACACTTACTTTTGAGAACTGCAAAATTGAGATTTCCAGTGCCTTATTCACTGAAAATAGAGCAAACCACGATTATCTTCTCCTTCTTGATTTGTATCCTAGTTATTTTCTTCTTGATCAGTAGGTTGGTGACACCAAACCTCAAGGCAGATTGTAATCCTTACCTCTTAAATTGAAGATGCTGGGAATTGAATTGTTTGCTACAGAAGCAACAGCAGCTCCTCTTCTAGTTCAGACTTCTTTGCTTCAAAATCCTTGACTTTATTGTTCATTCAGTGAAGGACTTCATTTTCTATTGTAGATATGTGTCCATCTAGTACTTTTATAAGCTTTCTTTGATAGATGCAAAGCAGAACATTACAAGGCATGAAGAGATTAAACCATGTACAAGGTTCAACGATCAAATATAAAATTTAGAAGTTTAAGGGTCATATAAAGCATCAACAAAGTCTACTGCATCCATTCTTCCAAGACCTGCTGCCTATGGAAACTAAAATAAAAAGCATACGAACGAAGTATCCAAGTGCTTTGATAGTGTTAATTCTACCCCTTCAAGTTCCAAATCTCCCTCAGCTGATTTGCCGAGGTTGTCTCTTGTATCCTGTATTATTACTTGCTTATTTATCTTTCCTTGTGGATCTTTGCACAACCGTGTCTAAGATAAGGCTACTGCTAAAACAATCCTTGTAAAATAGATCCAAAAGACATCTCGTCTGGCACATACCATCATCTATCTGTTGTTGTTGCATGACCACCTCTTCAAAGCAAGCTTCCTCCAGCCAATATTTGAGCCCATGGTTACTTCACTTATTCTCCTTCTTCTTCATCATTTTTCACAGGGGATGCGGCACCATAATCATCTAGCACTGGCTTTTCCAATGCTTTATCTCTCTCCAGTTGGTCTTGTCATTCTCCCGCCAATGCTTTTCATCAGAGGATTTCTTCTTTTCTGTTTAAAAACTGTCTTCAAATGACAAACTGCTCTCTCTTTAGTAAAGGTTTTCTTCTAGCTTAGATTGTTTTGTTATTTCGATTCAAGCTACTAGCTCTTAGTAACTTTTATCTTGTCCATGGAAAAAGCAACTTGAGCTTGTCTTTTTAAGGACCAATTTATTCAAGGTCCAGAAGGTTGTTAGACTTGTGTGTAAATCGATTTTTATGTTTTCCATATGGAAATGCATGTTATTGTGGTTTTGACTGTGAATTTCTTGTTTTTCCATATATAAATTTCTGTTGTAAATCATTTGCTGTGTTTGATTTTATATATGGAATAACAAAATTGTCAGCTCTAGGGTTAGCGTTCCTCCCTTGGATAAATGCATGTCTTTTTTTCCCCTCTCCATCATGCTGAATCTAAAATAATAGGCCAAAATTATAATTTTATGAACTCTTTTCTTGTATTTTTTCGGAAATATGTATTTCAGTCTAAACAAAGCCCAAGAGACCTTTCAGAGCACTAACAGTGTGGATCCAGACAATGTATTTGAGGTGCATGGAAGGGAGTGATTCATGGCTAGGGAGTTTTTCTCCGTGCTGTACACTACAGAGCTTCAGGAAGCAATTAGGAAATCTGTTTGGAAAAGGCAATTGAGGGTTGGTGATGCATGGATGGACAGTTCTCTAATTGTCCTGGAGAAGCAAAAAAAAAATTCAGGTGACAATTAGTATCCCAAATTGGTCAATCCAGTGGAGGCAATCGGTGGTTGGCTGAAACTTCTTAAAATACATCAATTTGAAATTTGATTTTGGTTTACTTAATGGATGGTAGGGTGGTGTTATTGGTGGTGATGTTGTGATAATTTCTATAGTACTTTGATTTTTGGCAATTGTATGGGAAAACTCAATGTATGCTGAAAGCAGTTAGGTTTCTTGGAGCCTAGGGAATACAGTGTAAGTTGTGTGCATGGTTGAACAAATAAAGCTCTGGAGAATTATTGTGTTTTTGCAAGAGCTGAAAACATAATATACGATCTGAACAGCTTGAAAATCAAAATTATGATTGTTTTTAGTATTATCTTCATAGCAGCAGACAAATTGCCATCTTTTAGTGCAAAACCTAAATAGGCTACTAGCAGTTGTATTTGCAATAGACAGGTATTAGCTTAATTGATTTGATTATATATATTTGTTATGTTGTGTTAGGTAATGAATGCATGTTGTTATTTTCGGGTTTGAGTTCAAGCTTTTTTCCCTTCTCTCCAGTTCAGATCTATAATTTTCTGTTGCTAATTTTCTTCCATTTTTTTTTATATTTTTGTATCTTATTTATGTTTAGCAGATGCAGGCTTGCCTACCCTTCGCATCTAATTCATCATGGGAGAGGCTGTTTAAACTTTAAATAAGAGCAAGTAAAATGTTGTACAGATGCAATTCTCTAGTTTAATGGAGAGTTTAATTCTCTAGTCTGCTTCTGCTTTGATAAGTAAAAAGGTTTTATGAATTGCACTTACGCATGTAAGTTTTAATCATCACTAGCAAATATAAGACAACATTTGTTCTTTGATACAGTAATTGCTCCTCTTGTATGTTCAGTGTCAAATCCCCATACAATACTACCTTCAAATTCTCACAACTATTTCAAGATATTGAAAAGGTCAATAAGTCATGTAACTTAATTGGAATATTAATGAAGAAGTTCAGTATTTGTATGTTTTTTCCATTCAACTTGAATATTGAATGCATATGTCTCGTTTTTGGATAGGTATATCTCTATTGCTGAGCTGGACTCTTGTTACTGGACTCATTGTTGTAAGCAACCTAGTAACATCTATGAAGTTTCATGGAAAGAACAAAACATCAATGTTAAAGTGTCAGATATAACAAACAACACTATTATTAGGAGTTTATTTGCTAATACCTATTAAAACTTTCTTCTGGTATATCATGTCATGAAGGGTATTGTATAGTACAAAGTTGAAGTGATAGGAAGGACATCTAAAGACATGTTCTTGAACTTCTCTGAGTATAGTCAATCTTGAGAAAATGATCATCAAATCTCCAACAAGAATGTTAAAATTGTTCTTAGATTTCATCACCCTAGATTTTTCAATCAAATAAGCAAGTCCTCCCTTGAGCATAGATGCAAACTACGGTGCATCTGAACCTTTGATCATCACTTACATTACATTTTTTTGCAAACAGAAAAAACAATGAATGGTTCCTTTTATATTATTTAAGAATTGTATGAAAATTTACAATAAAGTAAAAGTAAAATTATTGTACAAATTACCTTTACATATGCATGTAAAAGATCAAGGTTGAGAAAATTTTCTAGATTATCAAGTGTTGTTAATTTCCAAATTTTAAGCACTTTGACTTGTATTGTGTTTGGTGGTTTGAATAATTGGAGATCAGTCAAATATTGCTGATTGATGGAAGACATTAAAGAACATTAATTTTATTATGTTTTAAATACTGTTAAAAAATTCCACTTGTTATGCTTATTGTTGTTTATATTTGTACACATGTTGATATTAAATTGTACAACAGTAGCAGTTGTTTGCAGAAGGAGCATTCAATGCCTTTATTTGTAAGTACAAACATAAAGACTTAATATTATACACATTTAAATAATACAAACAGAAAGAAAAATTAGTTTCAAACAATGTAATTTAAAGAAAGGAAAATGAAAAATCGTAAAAAATATCAGATAGTGTAAATACAAGACAAAATCAATCTATAATGCCTACGGTAGTATTAAATAAACAAATAGTTTTTAGCTATACATAATTCTATCAAACTGAGTAAGAAGTTACTATAACCTATTTGTAGGTTTTCAATATTTCTTTGTAGATTATATTTTTTGTTTCATTTGATTGTTCTTTGTCTTCATTCAAACTTAAAATCTTCAATCTTATAATGATTCGGCTTTCTCTAATGCTTACATCCATTCCCTTGGAAATTAAAGAATTTCAAATCCACTTAAAGATATATGCTTTTTACGAGATCAAGCATTAAACTCTCACAACGTTTTTTCAAGGGAGCAAGTGAAACCCTTAACAACGCTTTTTCACAAAAGTAAGCAAAACCCTTAACAACGCTTTTCATGAGTGCAAGCGAAACCTTTACAACATTTTTTCATAAGAGCAAACAAAACCCTTACAACAATGGTTTTTAACGGGCTCAATCACAAACTTACAAATAGAATTTTAAGGTTAAGTTAAAACCTTTACAAAATGAGTATAAGAACAACAAGAATGCCTTTACAAAGACTAGGTGCTAAAAGTTTAAGCTTTGTGTATAAAGAGAAGAAATAATCTCACAAATTTCAGCTCAAGGATTTTCAAGTGAGTGAGTAAGCTTCTATGGCTTTTGAATGCTTAATGAAAAACTAAGATGAAGGCTAAAGAGAACGGATAGGGTTGAGTGTTTCTCTAGGGTTTCCAAATGAAGTGTTGGTCTTCTTTTATGTCAAAATAACCCAAAGGATGCCTTTTATAGTTGTAATGAAGTTTGGAGTCATTAGATACAAGTTTGAATTAAATCTAACCGTTGTTGAAGCTTGAGGGTTGAGTACAATGCTCCTAGGGTCGATTATGTTCTTCAAAATTCTCAAATTAGGATTCCATAGTTGAGTACAACCTTCATCTACTTGATCCGATTCCTAAGAGTGTGTATTTTTACAATCTGGGCTGAGGTAGTCAACTATAGAGAGGCCAGGGTCAACTATGCTTTTGAAATGTCCCATTTTTCATGCATCAGGCTCATTAGGGTCAACTACACTTATGCCAGGGTCAAATATGGCTGTCCAAAAGTTGAATTGCGCTTTGCAATTTGTTGGACCCAAAATGAGTGTTAAGGGGGGTAAATAGAACTTTTAAAATATTTTTGAGGCTAGCTTTTGAAATTTAAAATTTGTTTGGAAGATTTAAGATGGGTGGTTGAAAACTTGTGAAGGTTAGTGAACACCAAGTAAAGAAAGGTTAAGAGAAGTGGACAAAATATAATATTTATAGTGATTCATTCCACCTGACTTACATCCACTACCTTGATATTCCTAATCAAGGATTTTAAACCCAACTTTGCTAAATTAGTGAAATTAATAGCTTTTACCAAACTTTTACAAGGTGAACTTCTAATCTAAATTCCAACCCTTTTACAACAAGTCCTAAGTTTACCATGGCTTAAACTACCTTTTAAAGTGTCTTGCACATTCTAAATAAATAATAAATAGAAGATAAAATGATGTACAAATGATCACCTAACTTATTTAAGTTGTACAAGCTTCAGCACAAACACTTTCACAAAGATAAGAATGGCATAAAAGTGTAAAGAGAAGGTTTTTGGTCTTCCAAACCCAAAATCACTCTTAGTACCTTCTCTCTTGCTTCTTTGACTATTGGAACTTCAATTTATACTTGAAGAGTCAAATTTTTCTGTTTAAGATAGTTTTTAGTAGTTAAGTACAACTCTGATGCTATTTTAGCCATTATTTTGTTCTCTATTGTTTAATTTCAAATAGATAGACAGAGTATTGCTAACTAGTTACAGGTAGACTCTAATCGATTACACCTTCTCTGCCTTGTACTGTCTAGCAACTCTGTTCACTACATTCATCGGTTAAAGGGAGCTTTAAACGATTAGAAACTTTGTGTCTTCATTTTTCTCTATGCAGCAATCTTTCTTTAATTGATTAGCTACTCCTTTAACCGGTTGAGGCTTCATTTCCTTCAATCTTAATTGATTAAAATCAACTTTAATCAATTAAAAACTCTTCAAATTTTGAATTTCTCCATTTTATCTCCCTTCAATAGTCAACTTTTTTCAAATTTAATTTTGGAGTTTAAAGGTACTGAGGTCTTATACTCTAAGCGATTAACCAAACTCTTTAATCGATTAACATGACTCTATTTTTCATTCTCCAGCACCTCTTTAATCAATTAAGCCTGATGCTAACCGATTAGAACTTTTTTGTCTTGCTTTTACGTAGCACCCAGTTATGCCTTAACTGGTTAAGGCTCCACATTAATCAGTTAATGAGATTCGGTTTTCATTAGCCTTTTTCTTCTCCCTTACTTTAATTGACTAACTCATCTTTGTACAATTTCTAAACATGATCAATATTTTCAACGACTTCAGAACCAGGGTTTGCTTAACATATACTTTTTATTAAATAAAACCATTTGAAAATGCACTTTCTTACAATGTTTAACAAGAGTAGGTACTGCATCATCTTTGTGAGCAAAAACGTATACACAATTATATCTAGAATAAACATCAACAATAACAAAGCCATATTACTTACCTCCTAAGCTAGTGACATCAATAAGTCCAAACAAGTCAATGTGCAATAGTTCAAATGGTTTAAAAGTTTAAATCACTTTCTTTGATTTAAAAGAACTTTGTACTTGTTTTCTAAATTGACATGCATCGCAATCTTTATCATTTTAAATAAAAATCTTTGATAGTTCAATAACCAAATCTTTTCTTAAAATCTTTGAAAAGGTATCCATGCTAGCATGTCGTAGTCTTCTATGCCACAACCAACTATCACACACATCATTGGCCATAAAACAAGACTTATTGTGAATATTAATTTAATCAAGAAAAATCACTTAAGCATTTTCAAATCGTATGCCAATGAATACAATTTTGTTAATGTCAATGTCAATCACATAGCATACATGATAATCAAAGCAATTCTAAATCCTCTATCACAAAGTTGACTAATTCTTAACAAGTTATGCTTTAGACTTTCAACAAATAAAACATGCTTGATTATAGTTTGAGAAATGTTACTAATGGTTGCAATTCCTTGGTTGATAGCTTTAGAGTTGTAACCAAAAGAAAGACTACGCTTTTCTTTGTATCAAACTTGACAAATAAATTTTTATTTCTAATCATGTGCTTTGAGTTACCATTATCGAAGTACCTAAGCTGCTTCTCCTTTGGTTAAGCTTTCAAACATTGCTCTTTTTACTCTGACTCAAGCTACAAAATAAATTTTTATTTCTTTTTCAAAAGTACCCATACTTTGATGGGTCTTTAAAGGTTAGTAAGCACATAAAAACTTTTAGGCACCCAAACCATCTTAGTTTAGGAAAGTTATAACCTTTATGATAACAATCATAAGAAAGATGACCTTTATTGCCATAAGCATAACAATGGGATGAAGACACATAATTTTTCTTTCTAAAAACAACATTTCTCTTTAGTTTCTCTTCTTTTTTTTTTTCAATTTCAGTTTTGAATTCTTTTCTATTGAAGTTTTAAGAGTAACATTCTCATCTAATGCTT